ACTGTTTATGCAACTGTGCAATGAGTTAGATGCCCCAAATAATGCTCTACCATCTCACACTGAAGTGAGATGGTTGTAGAGAGGAAAAACTTTAAAACATGTTTTTGAACTTCGTGATGAACTCAAAACGTTTTTTAATCAGAAAGCAAGACCGCAGTTCGAAACACTTTTCAGTGTTAAAAGTGAATTGCAGAAAATAGCTTACTTGGTTGACATCTTTGCCATCTTGAATGAGTTATATCACTGCAAGGCCCAAATGCAACATGCCTCAATTTGCCTGAAAAGATCTGATCATTCCAAATGAGACTTCAGCTTTGGTAAAAAAAAAAAAATTGGATGAAATAAAATTTACATGTTGCCTATCTTATCTGCTTTCTTTGTGGAACATGACATTGAACCAAACAAAAGGATTACATGGATAATTTATGTGAAAGAACACTTGCACATGCTTGCAGACGAAATTTCATCATACTTTCCAAATCTACCTGACACCTCATTTGCACTTGCTGAAGCCCATTCACAGTCAAAGTTGAAGATGTTCCTGAGACAGCACAAGCAGAGTTCATTGAACTTATTAACAGCGATGCAGTGCGAACTGATTTCTCTACAATGCCAGCTAGAAGATTCTGGATCACGTGTTTGCAGTCATATCCTGTTCTTTCTGACACTGTGTTGCACCTTCTTCCCCAACAACATATCTTTGTGAAACAGAGTTCTCGAGCTTGTTGGTTATCAAGTCTAAAAACAGGACTAGACTTGTTGTGGAAGATGATCTTCGGCGTGCTTTTGCAAAGACTGCCCCACGAATTTCTGATCTGGTGAGAAAGAAGCTATCTCAACGTTTACACTGATGTTGGCTTTTTATGCATACTGTCGCAAAATGTAGCGATGTAGTTTACTGTTGTTATATTAAGACTGTTACTCGTGCTACACCATGCTTCAAGACCAAATTTCATTTATTTGTAATTAGAAATAAATATTTCACAATATATGATTATAGTTTTTGTGATTAATCACTATGCTTTAATCATGTTCAATTTGTAACAATGAAAATATACCCTGCATATCAGATATTTACAATTCATAACAGTAGCAAAATGACAGTTATGAAGTAGCAATGAAAATAATTTTATGGTTGGGAGTCACCACAACATG